CCTAGGGCACTTGGGGATAAGGTGTGCAGCTCTGGGCCAGCGACTGATGGTTGTATCTTCCCTGGGTCGACAGAGAAGGAAGCATTTCTTATCCAATCTGCTGGCAGACAGGAAACCAAAGGTTTAGGGGCAGCAGGAAGAAACCTGCACCTGTGGCCCAGGTCTGGAATTACTGTCAAAAAGCTAGGGAAGTTGCCCACAAAAGTTCAGCCCTGTGGGTAACTACAACAGCCCTTTGCAGCCTCCAAAAACCCATTGTGTTCTTTGTCATTTCTTCAGCTGCAAAATGGAAATGTTTCCACACTTGTGAGTGACCCTTTTGGGGAAAAGGGAACGAAATGCAGCAGTTTCAAAGTGAAAAAGACAATGGCAAGTGAAGACATCTCGGTGCTGACCTTGAGCACTGGTGCTTGGTGCCTGCCCAGGGAAAATTACTGGCATCACACTGAGCTGACCACTGTGTTCCTCTGCTGCTGCAGCTTGTCTGAAAGCCACTGGGATTAGTACTGCTAGAATATATGGTTTGTTTATCTATTTTTATTGACCCGTGAATATACCTACTGTATAATTTATTGTAACATTAGTAGTTCAGCCCTGTGATGTTTGCTATAGAAAAATTTTCACTTCAAGGCAGTGGGAAATTTTGCTAGGGTGAGGAGTGCAGGCCTAGCCTCTGCTTTGCCTTTTTTTCTTTTCCATTGCAACACAATTAACCTTTTCATTAGAAGAGGTCTGTTCCAAATAAGCAAACTTCTCAATGTGTATTACTGAGCCATTTCAAGCTGTCTCTTGCTCTGGAACAAAACGTCTTTGTTCCAGCCATGCATGACATTTGAAGACCTATTTATACAATGTGTCAGCTCCATTTGTTTTCTTCATCCTGATATTTTCCTCTGTATTTTGTTTAGCCATCCAGATTGCAAGGAGCAAGGCCGCTGCTGGTTTCCAGACTGAGGCACTGGCTGGCTTTGGCCTTTCTCTCCTTTTGCGGGCAGAGGTGAAACAACCCAAAATCAAACACAGTTTTGAGTAATAAAACTTAACATCCTCCTTATTTTAGTATTGAATAAGTGTAAATAATTATGGGGTTTCATCCATCCTCTCCCTCATAAATAATTTTTCTAACTTGGGACATGTCTTCTCCTTCCAGAAGGGACCCACGGTAGCACTGTCCCTGCTACTCAAGCAGCAACATAATGTCTGTCCCAGAACTGGCTCTACCTAGTGAAAAATGGAAGTGTAAGTCCTCCCTGAAATATTTTACACAGCTGAAGGTTTCAAACTGCTTTACCACATGCAAGATGCCAGGGAAATATTGCAAGCCTTACTTATAACCAGAAAATGTGGCTGTAGGTGCCAGCCCAGCAGTGCTAAGCCTGGGGTTGCAATGGCAAAACACCATCTGCTCTTTCCAATATTACCCTCACCAGGAAGGCTGAGGAAGCAGAGTGAAACAGCTCCATGCAAGCAGACCTGCTCCTGCCAGCTATTACATGGCCTGCTCAAAGCCTCTGACGGGGCCAAGAAAGACTTCAGTGTTGGCCTTGTGCTTCCACATTCACATAAGAGGAGACAGAAGGTTTAGGCTATAAAATCAAAATTAATCTACAGAGCACCTCACAGTTGTGTTTTACATAGACACTCCCTCCAGCTCTTGGGAAAGGACACGATCTCTGCTGAACGTGAAGCTGCGGGTCATTTCCATTCCAAACACTTAATGTGTGCCATATTCATCAGCCTTTGTGCAAGGAGTGGAGGTGGTGGCATGCGAGGAGGAATGCCTTCAACACCGTATGCTTCAAAAGCAGCTTGCGAGCTTTGCTTTGTGTTCTAGCAGCTGAGCTAGAGCTGCGTGCATGGCCTCACTCGGCACAAATGAAACCAAGGCATCCATATG